TGTCTGTTCTTGCTCTTTTGGAAATGTATCGTTTACTTACTTTACTTTTACTTTTACTTTTTCATCCTCTGTTGCTATTAAGCGTCGAGGGGAGATGCAGTTTTCTATGGTAGGCCAGCCCCGCAGCTCTTTCAGTTGTGATGTTATGTTTTCTTAGGGTTTCCTTGACACCCTCGATCCACCTTTTACTTGGCCTTCCTCTTCCTTTATAGTCTGAGTGCTTGGTGTTGTAGGCTCTCGGGGCTGGCTGGTCAGGTGACATGCGTAACAGGTGGAAAACCATTTTATCCTCTGTCTTTCTATGTAACGCAGGCAGGACTCAGTGCCGATAGCTGCTCTTACTTCTTCATTTCTCTGCCTGTCTCGTCTTGTCATGTTAAGGGTTTTGCGGAGACATTTCATTTCGCCTGCGGTAATTTTGCTTTCATGGGTTTTGCTTTAGGTCCAGGTCTGGCACTGATAACATAATGTTGGTATGAATATTGAGGTGATCAGCTGTCTCTTTGTGTCCATGGAGATGTTTGGATGAGATAGGAGGGGTGCGAGCTGGTAGGTGACAGTGCTGGCTTTTTGAGTTTGTATTTCTATTTCTCTGTCTATGGACCCGTTTTCAGAAAAAAGTGCTGCCAAGATATTTAAACTCCTTCACCTGTTTCAGTTGTTTGCTATTGACAAGGGTGTTCTGGGGACTATGGTTTCCGCTCACTTTCATAACTTCTGTTTTTGATGTTCTTATTTTCATGTTGAATTTCTCACTGGTGTTGTTGAGTTCGGTAGTGTGATTTTGGAGGCCTTGTTGGTCTTGATGAATAAGACATTGGTCGTCTGCGAACAGAAATTCATTTAGGCTTTCTGGGTTTTGGTTTGCTTCTTGCGTTATTGTGTCCATATATATAATAAACAGGAGGGGAAATAAAACGCATCCCTGTCGTACTCCAGACCTTACTTTGAACCAGTCTGTATTGCCTTCCTTTGTTCTTATTGAGCTTCTGCTGTTGGTATATAGAGCTCTGACATTATCTAACATTTGTCCTCTGACGCCATACTTTTCGAGTGTCTTCCAGAGGTTTTTCATGGTTTACTCTGTCGAAAGCCTTCTCCTGGTCTGTAAAGACAATGTTGGATTCTTTGTTGTGTTCGATTGTTTTCTCGCGTATCTGTCGTAATGCCAATACGGCATCCGTGCATCCTCTGCACTTTCGGAATCCAAACTGAGCTTTGCTCAGATTTCTATCTACAATAGGTCTTATGCGCTGCTCTAGTATCTTTGCATACATATACTGCGGGTAGATGATTGAAATTCCAATGTCAGTTGGTGGCTATGGTCGCTTAACATTATTTCCGCCTCTTTTTTAAAGTTTGTTTTGTGCAGATATTCAAAATTACTTAGGTCTCTACCAATTGTTCTTGATGCTTTTCTGATCAACGTGTTTATTTTTATGAAGTGCTGTCTTCCCAATTTGCTACCATAGCAAGAGATATCTAAATTAATCAACGTTTCTCTCGTGGTGGTGTAGAATATCTGAAAGATGGATGGATTCAGATTGAAGGACCTATGTTTCCTTAGAAAGTACAGCCTCTGATGTATCTTTTTAACAATATTGTTTATGTGATTTTGCCATGTAAATTTGTTGCCTATTGTAAGACCAAGACATTTGTATGATTCCGTGATTTCAATGGTTTTTTGTTCAATTACGAGTAGTGGGATTGTTGATGTGTGTGTGTGTGTGTGTGTGTGTGTGTGTGTGTGTGTGTGTGTGTGTGTGTGTGTGTGTGTGTGTGTGTGTGTGTGTGTGTGTGTGTGTGTGTGTGTGTGTGTGTGTGTGTGTGTGTGTGGAGAGAGAGAGAGTAGGTGTGTATAATACATGAATTTACGATGCTGCAGCCAATCTTCTTTGTAGAGATCGAACAATTATTATCTTATCTTATCTTATCTCATATCTTATCTTATCGTATCTTATCTTATCTTATCTTATAGTCCCGCTTAAAATATGCGGTGTGTATTATTATTATTAATTTATTTTTATAACTTTTTTTTGGCACTGGCACCTGCCTAAAGTCATATAAGCGCGCGGGACCCCTTAATTAAGCATTTTCAGTTTGGTTTAAATTAATTTTGAATTTTGCGCAGATAGCGGTCGAAGCCTGTGGTTTTAGGACCACCAACGGATCTTTAACGTACGCAACTTACACCCACGACCTCCGATATGTTTTCGCCCTTATCGAAAAGGCTAGGTGTTCGATTTTACCTACCTTTGTGAAAGGTAGAAGTAAGAGTAACAGTAGAAAGAGTCAGGAGCCCAGAGGAGGGCAGAAAGCGGGGACGGAAGCAGAAGACGGGACATTATTAGAGAGCAGGAAAGGAAGTGAAAGTAGAAAATTTTAAGGAAGAAAATGTTCTGTTGCTGCCAGGTTTCGAACACGGAAACTATTGAACTAGAGGCGAACACTATACTTCTAATACCACGACAGCCCCATATCCACATGCGTTTTTTATTATTCTGGCCTCTGTCCAGTCTTACAGAACAGCAACATTGCAATGATAACAAAATTAAGGGCTTTAATAAAAGGCTATGTCTGGTCAGTTCTCCAAAACGGCTATGAATGCGAGGCAATTACCAAAGATACTGAAATTTAGCTAGACACAACAGAAATTAGGTTTCTTAGAACACTGTTGAGAGTTTCAGGACTGAAAAGAAATTAAAGGAGAAACTAAGTGCTGAAAGAAGCCAACGGGAGACAGGCACTTAAAAAAACAACCAAGAAGAGACAAACGAGACAGGAATATTAGCTGGATTCTATACAGTTTCGTTGTTTATTATTATTGTCTATTAATTTTGTTCGTAAGACAAAGGGTTCCCTTTCTAGTTTAACTATGAATACTCGGAAATTCCCCCAAACCTTTGATGTTCTTTGATATTGCTTCATCAAAGAAGATTCTTCCACTTTTTTCTCATCATGCTTGATTTGAATACCTACCTACCTACCTACCTACCTACCTACCTACCTACCTACCTACCTACCTACCCAGGACAATTGTATCGGATTTTTTTAAACCTTGAACATCTTTCTGTCACTGAAAAAACAGAAAGCAAATGAATAGACCAGGAGTGACTTGCTTAGAGAGCTTTAACTGATGAGTGACGAGAAAAGACCATTACAAATACTGTATTAGTTTTTGTAGAGCACCTGAGCAGAGAAATGAGGGGCGAGCCACGATCGCCGATATCTCGTTCTATTCTGAAACTTGAGGAAATTTGTTTTTAGTTTTAGAACGAGTTTTACGGCATTTGCAATACAATAAAGCCATTTAACTGCTGAAGATTAGGGGTGTTACAAGAGAGTAACAAAAACAAAACAGAGGTATGGAAGACAAAGACGATAGATGTTTGATAGGAAGAAGAAGAGGATGAAAAATGTTGCTAGTGAGACAACCTCAGCTAGTGAAATATTATCTGGCCTTACAACTTTGCCTTTAAGAACATGCGTTCTTAATGACAGCCTGTAGTTCTGTCAACATTGAGTATCGTTTTAGGGATTTCTTTATTACACGTTTTCTCCCCTATTATCTTTAAAAACTTAACTTCTTATGTATTCAGGTCATCTTTTTATGACATCCCATTTGTCCATTAAAATACCTCTTTATTTGATCTTATGCAGCCTGCATTCGAACACCATTGTTTTTCTTCTCAATTTCTTCTTTAGAGTTTTGATTTTGGAATTTAAAATCGTTGCTTTGATTTTTTTTTCAGAACATCAATGAAGAAGTGTTCTTTAAATTCTTGGCTTTTCTTTCAGATGTCTTTTTGAAGATTGGTGGTGGGGCTTAAACTCATTTTTATCGGCAACTTACACGCGACTCGTACATAACCACTACCACAATCTGTTGCTGGCACTGATGTTGATAATTTTATAGCATTAGTGAAACGTTTGTGCATAAGTTCGAAGTATCTAAATGCTCGTTCCACCTCCACGACTCTTCCATGTGTGTCACCTTCTCGGGTGGTCCTCATACAAAATATTTGAAATAATTAAATCGTTTTCTCCGCAGCAAACTGCGAGACGCTCACCATTTTCATTTCCGTGCATTCCCCAATGACCCAACCATATGTTCTATCCCCGTGTCTCCTACTTTGCAGTAACCCCCCCCCCCAAACCACCTTTTTTGTTTTGTTTTGTTTTGTCTCACAATCGAGTGGGTTCGAAGGGTCTGACGTTGTGTCCTTAGGAAAGGCTTTTATACGAATTTTTATTTTTACTTCCCACAGGTGGGAATGGGTACTGCGAAAGGTGTTGTCAGTTTATTAGTGTTTGAGTATTTAATCGGCTGCTTGCACTGCATGCTTGCCAGAAGCTGAGAATAATTCTGAGTAATCTAGGGTCTGCTGAGGTAATAATGTAGGTTGAAAAGCGCATATAGAGATTGCAGTTGCTTTACAAATGTCTTTTAATGTTTATAAATTATTATCAGTGATTCATTGTTCGGAAGGCATTAGGTTTCCCTTCTAGTTTATCTGCGATTACTATAAAACTCCTTTAAGTTAAAAATCTTTCATACTCTTTGATATTACTTCATCAAATAAGAATCACATGAACACCTTTCGAACATCATATTCGACTTGTATACCTACTTACCTTCCTACCTACCTACCTACCTACCTACCTACCTACCTACCTACCTACCTACCTACCTACCTACCTACCTACCTACCTACCTACCTACCAACCTACCTACCTATCTATCTACCTACCTACCTTCCTAACTACCTGCCTGCCTGCCTGCCTGCCTGCCTGCCTACCTACCTACCTACCTACCTACGTACCGACTGACCCACCCACCTTTATTTTAAAAAGATAATTTATTACCCCGAACCACGAACATGGGAATGGAGTCTCGAGTCTCAAGAACTAAAGCAATGTGTTCCCAATGTTCATGTTGTAATTAAAGACACAAAGTGTGCCAACATGTTTAGGATACCTGTGCTCTTGTATCTCCTCAGGTCAGTACGATCTCCGTGCGACGTCTAATGGGCAGAGGGAAGTGGAGTTAGCGTGGTCACCCTTCGCCCCGCCTGACTATTTGTTCGAGTACGTGCTCTTCATGCGAGAGGGCACCTTCAACTATGATATCAATAACTGGAATCAAATAGAAGTGAGTATTTTTCTTCTTAAAGGACTGCGCACCCAATAACTTGTGAGTTCCATCAGTACGAGGTACAAGACCCCCCTCTCCCCCATCCTATTCCACTGGCGAGGCGCTGCTCAAAAGGTTTTCTAGCGTAAGCGTGACATCTTGTATTTTTGTCTTCCTGCCTAATTGGTTTATTATTATTTTGTTCCCGAATTTGTTCTGGGTTGTTTTCGAAGTTGGGCTAACAAAACAAAACAAAACAAAACAAAAATAGTCCGGGTCTGTCTTCAAGATGACTTATTTCGAGGTAGCTTTCCATCCAAACAAACAACAAAAGAAAAAAGCCCCCCCCCCCCCCCCCCAACACACACACACGTGAAATAGCGACTGTTGAATACGACGGGAACACGACAAAAGTTAGGCTTGGTTCTATTCCGATAGGAGCGATTGCTCCAAACTGTGCCTTGTTGCCAGAACGTCCATGGAAGAGGTGTGTGGGGTTTTTGCCGTTCTGTCGGAACATGTTGTCTGCCTTCAGTGTCAGGACCAGAACTGTCAAGAGAAAAAGAACGCACCTTCCCCAAATCATATTATCCGTCCTCGTCGTTTTATGCTAGAAAAATTCTGGAATTATGCAAACTGAGCCCAAAAATGTGAAATTATGCGATTCTGTTAATTTTAACAAAGAACGATTAAGGAAAATAATCAGAAATTGTGCAAAAAATGATCAAATTTAGCTAAATTATGCGGGGAGCATAAAACCACGGGGACAGATATTATGGAAAGCATCGTTGGCATTTTGAGTCTCTCCGTGAAGGCACTTGCTGAGAAGACTATCACCGGCAAGGTCTTCAACGATCGGTTTAATTTGCATTCACTCAGTTTATCTAGCAAACGATTCCCCATGCGCTTTTTAACGTGACCACAACTTTTGATTGGCTGAAGTGGGCAGGAAGCAAACCTTTCCTTTATTTTCAGCCAATGAAATTTTGTTTACTAAAAATTTGTTTCGATAAAAGTTTGAACTGTCAGAATGGAATCGGGGTTATTTTATTGAAAAAAATTGCAAATCGGTCAATTAGGAGAGAAGTTATGGAGTTCTCAAAATCATGTATACAGAATGAGGTAAACAAACAGTACCTTAGCAACACAAAAATAAGTAAAATAACTTATTTCTTGGCCGAATATTCAAAATCGAATAACACTATCAGTTGCATGAATGGTTACTGTTTCAGATGAGTCAAGATACCGATTTTACCCCGAACAGTGCAAATTCATCAAATATTCTGGTTTATGCTGACCGATTCTATTCGACTGAATCAGTCATGGGTGTATTGGTTTGCGCGCACACTCTGTCTCTGTTGGTTCTTTCTTTGGAATATATTATGATCAACCGTAGACGTAATGCATACTTCTTTGATTAAGCAGAACATTTGAGAAAGACAGAATAATGAAAAAATAGATAGACAGACAGACAGACAGACAGACAGACAGACAGACAGACAGACAGACAGACAGACAGACAGACAGACAGACAGACAGACAGACAGACAGATAGATAGATAGATAGATAGATAGATAGTTAGATAGATAGATAGATAGATAGATAGATAGATAGATAGATAGATAGATAGATAGATAGATAGATAGATAGATAGATAGCGTTCGTAGAGCACAGATTCCCGCTCTACAGCAAGCTCTATGCGCTTACAAGAGAGAGAGAGAGAGAGAGAGAGAGAGGGGGGGGGGGAGCAAGTGTTGTCATTTTATGGAGGGATGAAATGCGTCAGTGGAAGTAATTTCACGTTTGATTTAGTGTAGTCAGTTCCTAGCTGTGGGAAGGAGGAATCAAAAACCTCACCATCGTGTGTTGAATGCAGTACCCAGATTTGCAACGGAACAGAACTCTGTGCCAACACGAGAGGAATTAATTACACCTCCCTGTCCGTAGCTCGTGCTCAAACTTTATTTCTAATCCTTTATAAAAGTATAATATACAACTGACGTTCATGTTTTATAAACAGCCGAGTACACCATATAGAGTTCCGATACTCCGAAGATTGTCACCTCATAAATATTTAGCAAGCCAGTTTCCGCACCGTAACCCCCCTTGTCTCCCCACTTCTCACAAAGTTTTAGTGAAGATGCCTGAGATTAAGAAATTGTTGACATACTCCTGTCACACTCGTGTTCTCTCTCATCCGTTATTTTTTTATTTATTGAATTGTCTCAACGGGATCGAAACTTGTTACTTTCTTTGTTCCTCGAAATCTTTAACAAAGTAGGCTACTGAAATGTTTAAAAACCTGTTTTAAAAAAAGAGCGCAACATATGGATGACATTTGATGAAGAGCTTTTTCTCGTTTTTGCCTTAATTTTTATTTTTTATTTTTTTATTTAAAAAAATTTGGGGTGGGGTGGGGGGGGGGCGGGTGAGGGGTTAAACCATATGTTGCCATCTTTATGACAGCTGCGACTTTCAGACAGCTATATCTCAGAACAAGAAGTAAAACTTAACTGTTCACTGCAAGTTTTGGCTTTGTGTCCTCTTAGGTTACTGGTGCGGATGTGTAACGACAAGTCCTTTCTGTTTAACCATATCTTTTGTACTGTCAACAGTTGCTTGATCATTGTTTTCCAGTGCTCGCCTGATCCTTATTACCGTTTATTTCGCAGATATCAATAGGTCTGTTCTTCATAGGTGTACTAGTTATGTTCAGTATGAACAGAGTGAGGGAGTAGAGTGAGATGGTGTACGCGGCTGTATCTTTGCAAATAATTCAGTGTATTCAGCTTAGGTTATAGACATTGTAAAACGTCTTCTATTCCTGACACGGTTGTGAAAACCCACGTTAGAGTTTGAAACCAACATTTGCCAAGTGGCCAGTGCGTCACTGTACAACCACAAAGACGCTCCTTGAGCTACGCGACAATAATCATAGCATGGAAATGAGTTTTCAAGAGGCCCTGTTGGTGACGTTTACAACGTCCCGACTCCAGCAATCATCTCGCTCTGGTGAAGGGACAGAGGGGGCACAGGCGGCCAACACCGGCTGTCCTTTGGAGGAGGCGTCACGAGTCTGTGCCCAACAGAAAAGCGTTTTCAAGCTCACAGACACGTTTCTGTTATCCTGCTTTTCTTACGTTTATCTATTCACGCAACAGCCGAAACGCACAGTTCTTGGAGAACAGTTAATGCATTTGCTAAATGTGGTTACGTCCCTATTGATTTCTGCTATCTCACATTAGCACGCGATAGACCTCTTGGCAGTCTGGAGAAGAAATAGCACTAAGAAATTGCTACGCTCTGATGTCTTTACTTTAGTGTATTGTCTCTGTCCTCCTTTATTCTGTCCTCCTTCTTTTTTACTTTAATAAATGTGACAAGAGTTTTGTTTTTGAAATAAACTGTTTGTGTCGTTCAGGTCATACCCCCCCCCCCAATACACACACACACACGCGCGCACACAAACAAACAAACATAAACAACTAAAGCAATCAAGGTCCTCATTCAGTCAAAAGGAAAAATGTGACGTCCGCCCTACTTTCATCTTTTAAATTGCAAAGCGATACGTGCACCCGTCAAGATTACATTTATCGATCCGCTTGACGTGGTACTCTTACTTCTGCTCTATGGAAAAGAGAAATATTTACGATTTCGAAGTACTGTACAGCTGGGAGGAAATGAATACCTTTAGCAATAATTTTAGAGCCATGTTTTCACCTACAGAAGAGATTCTCCGTAGTCCGTACCATTTGCTCCCCATTAAAGGTATCGTGGGGGCGGGGGTGGTATGTTTTCTCTTTTATATTTCTTTCTTCCTTTTTGTTTTTGCTGCTTGTTTCCTGTTTACTCTGAACCCTACCGCACACTAAAAATGTTAAAAGCTTTTATGTGCTTCAAGTATGACATTACTATCATATGTTGACGCCCATGTTCAAATTTAGACCCTGCCCGAGACATGTATTGGTTTGTTAAATTCATAAATGTAGGGAATTGAGCTCTTTTTTTTCATTTAACAACATTAAGTTTTGGCAAATCAAGCGGTTTTTGTACATACGCACTTTGCCAAAACTAAGCAACTGAGTCTCAGTATTTAATGGTCAGGTTACTCGTCTGGATCTATGTAAAGTTAGTCCTGTGGGAACGTACTTTTTTGTCTCGTTGGAACGAACTTTTTTCTTTTTAATAACGTGTGATTTCAATTATTTGACTTTGACTTTATCCTAACTCTATGGTGTTCTTCATCTTTATCCACTTTGATGACGAAATGAAAGACATTGAGCCATATTATGTACCTCTGTAGCCAGAGACGTGTACCCTGCTTCAAACTGTGTCTGTCTGTCAAGATTCTAATTGTACCGTGCCATAGCACTCCTTTTTTGTTACCCACTTTCTGTTACAATTAATTCTTCTTCTTTTTCTTCTTCTTCTTCTTCTTCTTCTTCTTCTTCTTCTTCTTCTTCTTCTTCTT